ACAGTAGGCTCATCCCCCCCCCCCCAATAGCTAGCAACCCAAAACAGTCCAGTGGAGCCTGAACGGTGGGTGTTGCCTTCTGACACACTTCAGGGGGTGTGGCATATGCAAATAAGATCTGCTAATGAGTTATGCTAATGAGCTCCTGCACCTCTTTTTCTACGAAATGACCCCTGTATGTATGTAAATTAAAACAGCAAGATATCTTAAAACACACAATTTAAATAAAACAAGAACATATAAAACTCGTAAGAGCTAGTAAACATAGGTGCTAATAAGTGCCAATAAGGGGCCAGTTTGGTGTAGTGGTTGTGCGCGGACTCTAATCTGGGAGAACCGGGTTTGATTCCCCACTCCTCCTCCACTCGCAGCTGCTGGATGACCTTGGGCAAGCCGTAGTCCTGACAAGAGCTGTTCCTGAAAAAGAGCAGTGTCTGTCAGAGCTCTCTCAGCCCCGCCTCCCTCCCAGGGTGTCTGTTGTGGGGAGGGGGAGGGGAAGGAGTGGGTAGTGAAGGGCGGGGTATAAATCCAATCTCTCCTCCTCTTCCTCTAATAAGTGATGGCGGCATCCGCTCGGCACCCAGGTGGTCAATGACCACCATAGTCTGGGTTCTTGCCAGGCTGTTGGTTATTAAGTTGGTACTGATATTGGGACCAGGGCCATACTATTGGGAGGCGGCACCCTAGTTGAAGGCCTGGTGGAAGAGCTCTGTTTTACAGGCCCTGTGGAACTGTAAAAGGTCCCACAGGGCCCTGATTGTCCTCCAGGAGCTCATTCCACCGGTACGGGGCCGCCACAGAGAAGGCCCTGGCCCTCATCACAGCTAGCCTTGCTTCTTTAGGGCCTGGGAGGGCCAGACGGTTTTGCGACCCTGTTCTTAGTGCTTTCTGGGGAACATGTGGGGAAAGGCGGTCCCTTAGGAGCGGAAGAAATACAGGTAGCATCCTTAGAAAAAATGGCCGCTAAAAACACCTCAGGTTATTCTCGCTGGTTCACAAGCTTGATGTTACCAGAAAGCATCCGTGAGATAGTCTTCCTGGGAAGAGCCCAGCTGGCAATTATGACCAAGCCCCAAATGCTGGAGCTCCGGAGGAGGGGGGGCGCACAGGTCCTTCAAGCAGTCCACCTCATTGCCACAAAGTTCCAGCACCTGCCGGGGAGGAGGAGAGAAAAGAACTGTTGGGGGAACGGAAGCCGGGAGCCCGTCTGGGCGTTTGCATACATTAGACGGCATTCGAACTCAACTCCTGTTGGCCACCAAGAATGACTGCCCTTTTCCTGTGCCATCAACACTTGCAGTGCCCCAAACAATACAATTTTAAGAACATAAGAGAAGCCAATGTTGGATCAGGTCAATGGCCCATCCAGTCCAACACTCTGTCACACAGTGGCCAAAAATCAGGGGTCATTTCGTAGAAAAAGAGGTGCAGAAGCTCATTAGCATAACTCATTTGCATAACTCATTTGCATATGCCACACCCCCTGACATCACCGGAAGTGTGTCAGAAGGCAACACCCACCACTCAGGCTCCACTAGACTGTTTTGGATTGCTAGCTATTGGGGGAGGGGTGCAGATCTGTCCTCGCAGACGAGTGAGAGCTTGTACCTGAATAAAACTTGGTCTTAAAGGTGCTACTGGACTGTTTTGGACCGGGGGGAGCTCTGCAACTTACCTGGCTGCTTCTTGCTCTGACAGAGGGCTGCTGGGAGCAGGGGGTGGGGCTTGTTGCATGTGCCCGCCCCCTGGGCTCTTTACTGCCGGAGCTCCGCTCCTGTGTGCTCCTGCAGGAAATGACCCCTGCCAAAAATACTGGGTGCCATCAGGAGGTCCAGCGGTGGGGCCAGTTGTGAGCCAGGCACTGTGGGATTTAGTGCAATTCCACAGGGTATGTAAAATGGAGATGTTCCACCAGGTCCAGGTTTGGCATAAAGAGGCTCCGGTCCCAGGAAGCCTAATATACAGAATTTCTGCCTGGCAGGCAGCTACAGACAGCACAGGGGAAGGGTGGGACGACAGGAATTCTACCTCCAATCCCAGAGGATAAGAATATCTTTAAAAATATTGCAAACCTGTCCAAGTTACAAAACTTGTGGGAAGCTGCTTTGGTCCACAGCAAAATCCCCATGTCACCAAGGCATCATACCTTTATTAAGACCAACAATAACATCACCAAAGCGATAAGCATGTTTTTGCATTCTGGAGAGTCAAGAACAAAACTAACAACTAACAACTGACAGCTGAAAGTGAGAGAGCCCTTGTCTCCTGGAACTTTTACTGACAGTTGGTGTCAGAAGGATATCTATAAGATCGAGGAACCCACTATAACAGTGGTGGCGAACCTATGGCACAGGTGCCAGAGGTGGCACTCAGAGCCCTCTCTGTGGGCACGCGTGCCATCGCCCCAGCCAGGCCCAGACCGTCATTAAAGTGTCAAATTCTCTGCCAAATAATTTTAAGTAAATGAAAGCCTTTGGGATTGCTTTCCTTACTTTGTTTGGATCCTCTTAAGTTAATGTAGGAGTTGTTTTTTCTAAAGTACAACCTCAGTATTCAGGTTAAATTGCCGTGTTGGCACTTTGCGGTAAATAAGTGGGTTCTGGGTCGCAGTTTGGGCACTCGGTCTCTAAAAGGTTCGCCATCACTGCACTATAAGAAGAGCGGATTGTGTCACCACAGCCATCGGGAATTCTTGTTAGCACTTTTTGAGTTGTACAGTTAAATGATTTTAGAATTGTTTTAATTCAAATTCGTCACATTTTACTGTAAATTATGTACTGATTTCATGTCAGCCGCCCTGAGCTGGCTTTGGCTGGGAGGATGGGGTAAAAACCCAAGAAATAAATAAATAAAAGAAGAAAGAAGAAGGGCAAGGAAGAGGTTGTTTCAGGGCCTGAGGTGGAAGTCCCAAGTCGGCTGCTTGTAGCTTTCTTGAAAAGTGCGTGGTCCTCCTCTCCTCCTCCATTTTATCCCCAACTCTGTGAGGTAGGTTAGGCTAAGAGAGAGTCACTGGCCCACGGTCATCCAGTCAGTCAGCTTTATTGGCTGAATAGGGATTTCGGTTAGGGTTGCCAAGTTGACATTTCTCCTTACCGGGGGACTCCCGTGCTGCGGCTGGTGCGCACGCGCGTGCGCTTTGCGCGCCACATGCACGTCATCCAGAAGAGACGCGACCACGCCGGGCACGCTGGGTGCAGGGCCACGGTCATCCGAGGGAAAACTCTATGGTTTTCCCTCGGATGACCGTGGCCCCGCCCCCAGCGTGCCCGGCGTGGTCGCGTCACTTCCGGGTGATGCGCACATCGGGGTGGGGTTCCCCCCAGGGGCGGGGAACGGGCCTCTGGGGCGGGGGTTTCTGGGACTTGGGAAGCCTAGTCCCGGTCCAAAACTCTGACTGCTGTGCCACACCGCCACACCACGAGACCTCTCCTCAAACACTGGGAGACAAAGAGCGGAGCAACTGCAAAAATGACGGAGGCTCATGAGAGGGCATGTGACTATTCACCTTCAGTGTTGGAGGGAGGTTGGTGGAGTTGATCCTGCTGATGTGATTGGCGCTCAGGATGAGCTCTTCCAGGTTGGGAAATTTTAACAAATTGGCATCAATTTCAGTCACCTGGGGTTAAAAAAAACACACACACACGTGACCACTAAATCACAGACCATCCAGACCACCCCTCTTCCTGTGAGGAACAGCACCACCCACCATTATGTGTGTTGCCAACCTCCAGGTGGGGCCTGGCGATCCCCTGGAATCACCACTGATCTCCACCCGGCAGAGATCAGTTCCCCTGGAAAAACATGGCAGCTTTGGAGGGTGGACTCCGTGGCATTAAAGCCTGATGAACTCCCTCCCTTCCCCAAATTCTGCCACACCTGTTGAGTGTAGAGCCTGAGAAAGGCGGAGTTTGGGGAAAGAAGGGACCTTAGGAGCAGTGTTCCCTCTAAGCTGAGTCAGTGTGAGCTAGCTCACAGTTTCTTAGCCTCCGGCTCACACATTTTTGTCTTAGCAAAGGAAGGAGGGGCTCCAGAGCAAACTTGTTTATGCCGCAGCCAAGTTGCTCGCTCACAACTTTATTGCCAATAGCTCACAAAGTAGAATTTTTGTTCACAGGACTCCACAGCTTAGAGGGAGCATTGCTTAGGAGGGTAAAAAAGGTAAAGGTTCCCTTGCTCGAAAGCCAGTCAAATCCGACTCTAGGGTTACGGTGCTCATCTCAGTTTCAAATCCAAAGAGCCAGAGCTGTCCAAAGACATTTCCGTTGTCATGTGGCCGGCATGACTAAACACCAAGGTGCACGGAACACTGTTACCTTCCCACCGAAGTGGTACCTATTTATCTACTTGCAATGTCTTGCTTTCGAACTGCTAGGTTGGCAGGAGCTGGAACTAGAGATGGGAGCTCACTCCATCATGCGGCACACTCGGGTCTCGAACTGCTGAACTACTGACTGTCCACAGCCTGCAGTTCAGCGTCTTAATCACTTGAGCCACCGCAGCTCCTGCTTAGTAGGGTACAATGCCCCCAAAGCAGCCATTTTCTCCAGGGGAACTGATTTTATTCCAGGGGGTCTTCAGGCCCCGCCTGGAGACTGGCAAGCCTACGCACAAAGGTAATCCAAATTCATGCTTGAGCCTGAGCAACAGGAACAAATCCGGGTCGCCAACCTCCAGGGGATGGCTGGAGGTTTCCTGGAATTTCAGCCGGTCTCCAGGCTACCGAGATCAGTTCCTCTGGAGAACGTGGCTGCTCTGGAGGGTGGACCCCCATGCCGCTATCCCCGGCCAAAGTCCCTCCCCTCCACAAACCACACCTTTCCCAGGCTCCGCCCCCAAAATCTCCACTGTACCTAACCCAGGGCTAGCAATCCTAGAAGAAATGGACATCAATGCTAATTTATGGGATCTGCTGCAATTTCGTGAACCTGTCCTGAAGCTCCTGAAAACACTGCGGCCCCATTTTACAGATGGAGAACACCGAGGCCAAGTGATGCAGACATGGCAGGCCCGGAGGTGACACATGAGACGGGCCCCTGGATGGCTGGATCTCTCTGTCCACTCTCAGGTGTCTTTCCCCCCCAAAAACCCCGAAATCTCTCAGCCACTCACGCCTCTATTCACGATCCTGAGCGATTTGAAGTAGGAGAAGATGAAGCTGTCTTGGATGACCTGCGGAGTCCGCACGGCCAGCTCCCTCAGCTGCTGGTCCTCGGGGATGCAGTTGGGAGGCAGGGCCCACGGAGAGCCGGGGCTTCTCAGGAACTCCGTGAGCGCTTCCGCGGTCTCTTCGGTGGGAGGGACGAGCTGGTCACACAGCGCCACGCTCATCTGTCGCTGCCCAAAGCGCCACGTGGCTTTGGCTTTCCGAGGGGAGAAACGGGATTTGTTCTGAAGAGAACAGAAGATGGGAGGGGGACACACACATGAGCGAGCGAGAGAGAGAGATTGGATTTATACCCCTTGCCTTTCACTACCCAAGGCAGTCTCAGAGCCAGGGGTCATTTCCTGCAGGAGCGCACAGGAGCGGAGCTCCGGCAGTAAAGAGCCCAGGGGGCGGGCACATGCAACAAGCCCCACCCCCTACTCCCAGCAGCCCTCAGTCAGAGCAAGAATCAGCCAGGTAAGTTGCAGAGGGCCCCCCCGTCGACCCCCGTCCAAAACAGTCTAGTGGCACCTTTAAGTGTTATTCAGGTACGAGCTCTCCCTCCTCTGCGAGGACAGATCTGCATGTCCCCCCCCCCCCAATAGCTAGCAATCCAAAACAGTCCAGTGGAGCCTGAGCAGTGGGTGATGCCTTCTGACACACTTCCGGTGATGTCAGGGGGTGTGGCACATGCTAATAAGTTATGCTAATGAGCTCCTGCACCTCTTTTTCTACGAAATGCCCCCTGCTTAGAGCGACTTACAAACTCTTTTCCCTTCCCCCTCCCCACAACAGACACCCTGTGAGGTAGGCAGGGCTGAGAGAGCTCTGGCAGAAACTGCTCTTTTTCAATAACAGCTGCGGCAGAACTACAGCTTGCCCAAGGTCATCCAGCCAGGTGCAAGTGGAGGAGTGGGGAACCAAACCCGGTTCTCCCAGATTAGAGTCTTAACCACTACACCAAACTGGGGACTTTGGCTGGGGGGGCCACCCAGCAAGGAAAGCAACCAAAGGCTTGTGAGCGACCACTTCAACAACCAGAGTCAATACAAGGTTGAGCAGTACATGCGGTATTTCTTTTTTGGTTATTTATGAAAAGCATCCGGTGTTTAGGAAATGTATATACTGCTTCTACCGATTCTTGCTTGAGATAGCTGAGAAGTCAAAACACTACCATAAAGTAATAACAGAACTGAGCAAGAGTCCAGGAGCACCTTAAAGACTGACAAGAATTGTGGCAGGGGAGGAGCTTTCGTGAGTCACACACGGCATGCACCATGACCTGAAGAACCTTCCGTTTTCTATATTTTGCAACATCCAGCCTGAAGAAGAGCTTTGGAGAACTCAAAAGCACACTGTGTTGTGTCATGCGGTTGCGTCCGTGAATCTGTCTTTTAAAGTCATCTATGCCTGTGGCCATCACTACATCCTCTGGCAGCGAGATCCGCATTTTAATCACTCATTTGTGTAAAGACATATTTCCTTTTGTCTGTCCTGAACCTACTGCCCATCAGCGTCATTGGATGTCCCTGAGATCTGGTACCTTAAGAGAGGGAGAACCAGGGGTCATTTCCTGCAGGAGCAAACAGGAGCGGAGCTCCGGCAATAAAGAGCCCAGGGGCGGGCATATGCAACAAGCCCCACCCCCTGCTCCCAGCAGCCCTCAGTCAGAGCAAGAAGTAGCCAGGTAAGTTGCAGAGCCCCCCCCCCGCCCCCTGGCCCAAAACAGTCCAGTGGCACCTTTAAGACCAAGATTTATTCAGGTACAAGTTCTCCCTCCTCTGCGAGGGCAGATTTGCACATTCCTTCCCCCCCCCCCCCCAAGTAAACAACATTCAAAAACGTCCCAGCGAGGCTCAGTGGAGCGGTGGGTGTTGCCTTCTGACACGCTTCCAGTGATGTCAGGGGGTGTGGCATATGCAAATAAGTTATGCTAATGAGCTCCTGCCCCTCTTTTTCTACAAAATGACCCCTGGGGAGAACAATTTCTCTTTGTCCACTATTTCCACCCCCTGCATAAACCTCGATCGTGTCCCCCCCTTAGTCGGAGAAGTCCCAGAATCTTCAGCCTTTTCTCATGGGGAAGGTGCTCCAACCCCCCCTTCCCTTATCATCTCGCTTGCCCTCCTCTGCACTTTCTCCAGCTCTGCGATACCCTTTTAAAGTTATAGTGACCGGAACCGCACAGAGTATTCCACAGGACCACCCTATCCTCCTAACAGCTTTGTCGCCTGGCCCTGCCTCCCCTCCCCCCCCATCTCAAGCCCATGCTTGAGCCCTGCATTCAATGCCTCCAGATCTCAACCCTATCTATAAGGCTAAGCGGGAGACAACAACGAGTCGGACAAAGCTCTGGGAGCCCGGGAAGGCATTCAAAATGTCTCTGCCCCGCAGTGGAGGAAGTGAAGGGGGAAAGGGCACTTGTCAGTCTGGCCTACCTCACAAGGTTGTTGTGAGAGGGCCAAGGAAGCGACCTCGGGCTTTCTGGAGGCAAGGGGGAAGAGGGTGTACACACACACACAAACACACCCAGAGGGCGGTGCAAGGGTCCCTTAAGGGGGGCGGGAGGCGGCGCTGCCCCCCACCCAGCCCCCCGGCCCTCTCCTCTTACCCAGCTCCCAGTCCCGCAGGGGAACTGGTCGAGGCAGAGCGTGCGCAGGTGCATCCAGAAGGCGTCGGAGGCGCTGAGGCCGCCCATGCCGGAGCCCCCGCGGCCCACTCGGAGGAGGCGGCGGCGGCGGCAACACGTGGCGCCCGCCCGCCCAGGCTAGGGACCGCCCCGGGTACCAGCTTCGCGTCCTCCGTTGCTAGGTGACGGGGCCGGTCGCTAGGAGACGTCGCCGGGGCGGCGCGGGGAAAGCCGATTGGCTCTGCCGGAGGCGCCTTCTTTCCAAGCCGCGGCGGATTGCAGCAGCAGCACTTTCCATCCTGCGGGGGCTTTTCCGGTTTACGTGCACGGCCGGCAGAGCGCCGATCCAGGTTTACTCGGAAGGAAGTCTCGCGGCCTCAACTGGGCTTACTCTCGAGTCAGCTTGGATCGCACCCGTCGCCTGATTGAATTGTACTAATTTTCCCCCCGTCAAGTCGCAGGCGACTTATGGCTATCCCGTTGGGTTTTCAAGGCAAGGGACGTTCAGAGGCGGTTTGCCATTGCCTGCCTCTGCCTAGGGACCCTGGGCTTCCTCGGGGGTCTCCCATCCAAAATATTAACTTCGCTTCCGAAGATCTGATGAGATAGGGGGCTATCCAGGTTAACACAGAAGTAACATTTGTTGTTGTTGTTCAGTCGCACAGTTGAGTCCGACTCTTCGTGGCCCCATGGACCAGATCACGCCAGGCGTTTCGGTCTTCCGCCGTCCTCTGAAGTTGGCTCAACTTCATGTTCGTTGCATCGATGACACTGTCTAACCATCTCATCCTTTGCCTTCCTGTCTTCTTTGACCTTCAATCCTTCCCAGCATCAGGGTCTTCTCCAGGGAGTGCTCCCTTCTCATTTGGTGGCCAAAATATCTGAGCTTCAGTTTTATTATCTGGCCTTCCAGGGAACAGTCAGGGTTGATTCTTTTAGGATTGACTGATTTGATCTTCTTGCAGTCCAGGGGACTCTCAAGAGTCTTCTCCAGCACCATTAGAGTAACATTAGAGGGGGAGTAACATTAGAGGGGAAATAAAACCTGCAGTTTAAGCACGACACAGATTGAGACAGGTGGGAATGCTGAGCTGGTCAAAACGAATTCCCAAGGAGCAGCCCTGACAGTCGGCTGCAGCAAAAACAAAAAAATCTATCGGCACCGTCAAGACCAACCATGTTGAGAAGATAGATCCAGGTAGTCAGCCCTGTTGGTCTGAAGCAGCAGAACAAATGTAGCGTCCAGTGGGGGCACCTGTAAGACCAACAAAGGTTTGTTCTGGGTATAAGCTTTCATGTGCAAGGCACACTTTTTCACATTTAAAAAGCCCCAGACTCTTCAGCCTTTCCTCATAGGGAAGGGGTTCCAACCCCCTCATCATCTTGGCTGCCCTCCTCTGCACTTTTACCAGCTCTGCAATGTCCTTTTTAAGATACGGTGACCAGAACTGTACACAGTATTTTTAATGAATCCAGTCCAGACAAGCCCAGAGACAAATGTCGAGCTTCGCTCCAAGAGACAATGGACTATGCGGATCCTAGCCCGCTCCAATCAGGGGGCTAGGTTCCCAGTCGAGAGCCTATGGGACTCTCAGCCACTGTAAATAACCTATAGGGAAGTAGGGGTGTGTTTTGGGTGGCGGTTTCTCGGGGGATATAAGCCGGCCTGCGAGCCGGCCCAAGTCGTCTTGTTCCGGATAGAATAAAGTACACTTTGCTGAAATCACTCTCCGTTTGTGTACTTTTCAGTATTCCAAATGAGTCCACACCATAGATCTACTGATGAGTGGGCAACTGGCAAATGCGCCACTGACGAATGCGCTGCCGGAATACATCCCGGCCCACACGAAACATCGACTGGTTATTGCCTTTGTTTGTTTATTGCACGCTGCCATAATTTTCACTAAGAAGAGGAGGAGGAGATTGGATTTCTACCCCGCCCTTCACTTGGAGTCTCAGAGCGGCTTACAAACTCCTTTCCCTTCCCCTCCCCACAACAGACACCCTGTGAGGTGGGTGGGAGAACTCTGACACAAACTGCTCTTTCAGGAACAGCTGTGCCAGAACTTGGGACTGACCCAAGGTCACATCAGCAGGTGCAAGTGGAGGAGTGGGGAATCAAACCTGGTTCTCCCAGATTAGAGTCCGCGCACTTAACCACTGCACCAAACTGGCTCTCTTACAGTAACACTAGTACTGTTAGCCATTTAGGCTTTGCTTATATATTCCATTGCATTTTAATGTATTTATTTATTTAGCGTTTTAATGTTGTTCGCCACCTTGAGCCAACCCTGTGGCAAGGCGGGATAAAATGGAAATAAAAAAAAAATGGAAATAAATAAATAAACAAACAAATACACAGTCTCATGCAAGTTCAGACCCCATCAGCCTATACTTGAAATTGGGATTTTTTTTGTCCCAGTGTGCATCACATTACATTTACCAACAGTGAACTTCACTTGCCACATTGTTACCCACTCAACCAGCTGGTGAAGGTCCTCTTGGAATTCTTCACAGTCAGTCTTGGTTTTCACCATCCTGAATAATTTGGCATCATCTGCAGACTTAGCCACTACACTACTCAGCCCTAGTTCCAGATCATTTATGAATAAATTAAAGAGTACCAAAGGTAAAGGTTTCCCTTGCTTGAAAGCCAGTCGGATCCGACTCTTGAGATGCAGTGCTCATCTCCGTATCCAAGCCGAAGAGCCAGCACTGTCCAAAGATGTTTCCGTAGTCATGTGGCCGGCAGGACTAAACACCAAGGCGCACGGAACGCTGTTACCTTCCCACCAAAGTGGTACCTATTTATCTACTTGCAATTTCTTGCTTTCGAACTGCTAGGTTGGCAGGAGCTGGGGCCAGAGACGGGTGCTCACTCCGTCATGTAGCACTTGGGTCTCGAACTGCTGAGCTACCGACCTTCCATTTGGCAGTTCAGCATCTTAACCACTTGAGCCACCACAGCCCTTAAATTAAAGAGTACTGGCCCCAATACCGATCCTTATGGGACCCCACTGCTTATGTCCCTCCATTGTGAGAACTGTCCATGTTCCCTCTAATCTGTGGAGTCTTGTGAGCAAAAATTCTACTTCGTGAGCTACTGGAATTAAAGTTGTGAGCCAGCTATTTGGCTACTGCATAAATTGGTTTGCTCTGGAGCCATCCTGCCTGAGCTAAGACAAAAATGTGTGAGCCGGAGGCTAAAAAACTGTGAGCTAGCTCACACTAACTCAGCTTAGAGGGAACAGTGCTGTCCATTGATTCTTACTCTTTGTTTCCTGTCATTTAACCAGGGTTTTTTTATTTAACCAGTTTTTACTCCATAAGAGAACCCATCCTCTTATTCCATGACTGCTAGGTTTACTCAGAATAGTGAAAAGCCCATTAGCACATTTAAGACTAACAAACTTAATTGTAGCATGATCTTTTGAGAAACACAGCTCTCTTCATCAGAGGCAGATGAAGAGAGCTGTGTTTCTCGTAAGCTCATGCTACACAATAAAGTTTGTTAGTCTTAAAGGTGCTACTGGGCTTTTTACTATTTTGCAGCAACAGACTAACACGGCTAACTCCTCTTGAAGTTTACTCAGGAGTCTTGGGTGAAGTACCTTATCTGAAGCCTTTTGAAAGTCTAAGTATACAATGTCTACCAGGTCCATTGTTTACATGCGTGTTCACTTTCTTTCTCAAAGAATTCAAAAAGGTTGGCGAGGCAGGACTTCCCTTTGCAGAAGCCATGCTGATTTTCCCACAGCAGGCTTTGTCCCTCTGTGTGCCTAACAATTCTATCTTTGATCACAGTTCCTACTAATTTGCCTGGGACAGACATTAGGTTAACTGGCCTGTAATTAAAAATCGGTGTCACCTTCAGTCTTCTGATACAGCAGCTGAATTTAATGATAGGTCACATATATGACAGCTAGTTACCGTCTCTAGCCTTAAAGTAAAACAGAAAACTTGGTGATTTGCCATTGAATTAGCAGATCAGCCTGACAGCCCAAATCCGAACCACATTTTTAGGATCCAGCGGCATCCAAAGCCACCCTGAAAGGGCATTAATGTCCGTAGCTGTCTCAAAGCAGGGACTTGGCAAAGAGATAGGAACACAGGTGAAATCAAAGCTACCACTGGCCACGTCACGATGACAAGCACCGCTGAGATTTGGGAGGCCCTCCTAAGTACATAAAACCTCCGCTGTCACCTCTTTTCACCTCCAATTGCTTTTCTAGCCTGCTGATCCAATCTCTCTGTGTGTCATTTCTTTCTCAGAAATGACCCTAGAGGAAGAGAAGAGGAAGTGAAGGATTCCATCGAGGTGCATTTGATTTGGGTTCTTATCTCCTGTGGGAAGGGGCTTCGGGCTCACAGAGCAATTCACCCTCAGTCCTGTTCACTGGAAAAAGGAGAGGCGTCAGAATGCGGGGGGTGGGGGTGGCCCTCTTCCTTGGCCAGACTGTGCGGCTTCAGCGCTACTGATTCATCCCTCATTCTGATAATTCATCAAGCCTCAGAACTGGCATTTCCATTCACATCATTGGCATGAAACTGATTTTTTTGAAAAATTATCAGATTTTGGTGGCAACAAATCTTTTAAAAGTCATATTCAAGATTGAACAAGGGCTATATTTGATTTTAAAGACTCACAGAATCATAGAGTTGGAAGGGACCTCCAGGGTCCTCTAGCACAATGCAGGAAAATCACAAAAAGGCTGATCTCCTGACTTTCTATCATTTCAATCTCTCAGACAGAATTTAAAATAGTTTTTAAAAGTTTAAATGAAACAAAAGGTATTATGACGCATCCATTTATTTATATCCCGGTTTCCTCCCCATTGGGGCAGCTTCAAACGTCATTCTCCCTTCCTACATTTCCTCACAACAACAACAACCCCGTGAGGTAGGCCCGGCTGAGAGTTTGCAACAGGCCCAAGATCACTGAGCGAGCTTGCATGATAGAAGCAGGGATGTGAATCCAGGTCTCTTGGGATCCTAGTCTACACGCTCTACCCACTCTACCACAATCAGCCTAAACAAAACAAAACAAATAAATGGGCAGAAGCAGCAAT